TATCATGGGGCTGGTTTCAGTGGCTACACATTTCCCTGCTTAGTAAAAATATGTTGAAGCCTTGACATTGTAGAAAAGGGTGTTGTTTGAGATTGGGAGAACATGTAACTCTGGTTTTGCTCGTCCGTTTTACATGGCCAAGTCATTTTTTTTCTCTCAACAGTTTATCATTACGTGACTGCTGCATGTAAATTTTTGGCCTGACTATTTAGTAACTTGTGGTTCTTATGATTTACTCATTGTACGTTGCTACATGATATTTCTTGCCATTACTTTTCATTAACTCTGTCTTTAATAATCATCCATCATAGGTCGCTGCTGAAGCAACTCAAGAGTGTGGTGGTGGATCAAATTTCTAATGAGGCAGCATTTGCGGAGCCAATCCATCTGTTTCATTCAAACGGTCACTACTATGACCCTACCTAATCAACTGCCTCTCACGCCCATGTTTCTGAAGCATCTGAAGTCACTTCTGCTGCCAGCGGTCAAGTAGAAGAGCCTCTCTTTCATGAGGATGACTTCTTGGAAATGAATGATCTCATTGATCCTGAACCAGAATTGCCAAAACTAGAAAATCCTTTGGACAACTTGAGTTTGAAGATGGATTAAGTGCACTTGACTTGTACCATGATGCAGGGATGTTTCTTCATGACATGGGGCATATTGACGAGGAAACTGTTTTACATCCTTATATGAATACTTTTGACATTAATGTTGTGAATCAGCATTATCAGTCTCAGCCCTTCGGAGACAATGCAGATCAAAGTGGTGAACTCTGGATGCGTCACGAAAGGCATATGATGAGTCTAGCAAAACTTGCAAATAATGTTTCTTTCTGTTCATCAACCTCAGTTACATTCATTGGCATGACGCACTGTGTGGTGGTTTTGCTCAACTTCCAAATAATGATTGTACCATCTTTGTTCCAATGGAGATGCAAGCTTCGCATCTCATTTGTCTGAACTCTTCGAAGTTGACTTCCATTGGTTGATAGCCTGCAAATGCATGGAAGAAATCTTCCCTGATTATTAGTGTGTGGGGCATCTTCGAGAGCTTTCTATGCTAATATTAATGTGACTTGAGCTTGTTTCAAGTGGCTCTTGTAAGAAAAGAAAAAAAAAAGAAAATACAAAAAATGAAAGAACACAGACAATTTCTAATATCTGCTAGTTTCTGGTCATATGTATAGGTGTGGGTTATGAATCTGCCAGCTTGCTTGCCGAAGGCAATATAATCAAAGTAGCAGTGTGAGACAAGCTCCTACAAGTAGATTGTCTTCTGCTCTCTGGGCCTCCTTGAGTCAATACCTACCACTCCTGCATCAACGGCCGAAAATGCAAATCGGCTCTTGAGCGGGTGTCTAGCTTTAGTAGGGTGAGAGATAATATAAAGCAGGCAAGCACAGCTGCGCGTCGCGGCCGCTAAGGAAACTGCGATTGTGAAGAGAGCAGGTAAAGGAAGGGGAATCTTCTGGTTCTTGCCAGTTCTTATTGCTTTATGTGCTTTTTTATGGGCTTCTATGGGGACATTGAGGCTACTTGGGAGATCCATCCCTTGACATCTGAATCCCTAGTTTTGTTGCTACATGTCATATGGGATTCCCCTGATTCAATGAACAAACATATATTGTTCTAACATATTTTAATAATTAAAAAAAAAGAATTTACCTTCTGTTTCTTTCTTTCTTTCTTTCTTTTTTTTTTTGGTGAATATTGAACTTGAGAAGGAAGTTTTTTATAGTCTGAATGAGTGTTAAGATGAAAGAAGGGCATCTAGGGAGATGAATACTGGGTGACTGCAACATCACACAAATCTTACTTATTTGTCTCAATTATTAGGCTTATTTAGGGTTAGCTTGAAAGAACTGAGTCCCTTTATTTGTTCATTTATTTTATTATATATTTATTTCTTTTTTTATTAGTATAAGACGCCCATGCGAATCCAAGGCGGTTGAGAGAGTATCCATAGCGATAATTTAGAAAAAATTGATAAGTATGAGAAATAGGTTTTATATTTAGAACCAAAATCAACTTAACAATTAAGTCATATATTACAAACTAGAGGAGTATTCCAATTGAATTTAAATGGGATTCTCTTTATTCATAAATACTATATATTTATTATAAAACCCAAATAGAAGATTATGACAACTCTACTTTTTTTTTTCTTTCCCAAACATATATTGATCCATGCTCATGTTAAGGAAGATGATTATGTGTTTTAGGAAAAAATGTCATATTTTTTATAAGTAATAACTTATCTAATTGCTTAATCTAATCAAATTAGTTAAATAGATCTTATATTAAGGATCAAATTAATATTAAAATTCAAAATTAGGCATACTTTGAACAAGTTCCTAATTATGCTAAGAGGTCTAATTAGGGGTTTATAAATGTTGTTAAAAGTCTAGATGATCATTCTATGATTATAATGAGTTGTTATCTTTATATATTTCTTCCTCACAAATTCTTTTCCTGAAATTTTTTTTGCTGAATTTTTCTAGAGTTTGAAAATAGTAAATCTTTAGCAGATAACAGGAAATTCAACACAATTCTTGATTTACATTGATAATTACTCCAACACTATAATCAATGTAAAGTGTAGGTTACTAATAGATTTTAATCTTAACAGGTTAATTTGTGCTGAGTTTTAATACTGATCCATGCTCATGTACTTAATAATATATATGCACACTCAATTTTTTTATTAAATACATACATTTTTTTAATAGAACATTCAAATATTTTAGGAGTTAGATTGAGAATAGTGTTATAATTTATCATTTTCATATTGTAGGAAAAAACATCTGTGAGGGAGAAAAATATAGAGTATTAGCTTATATTTTAATTATAGTGTTATATTTTAGTCTTTTAACAATATTCATGAATCTCTAATTAGGTCAAGAGGCTCCTAGCCTAATTTCAGATTTACTTAAATTGAAGACTTGATTTTGAATTTTAGTATTTTAACAGGACTTTAATGGGATTATCTCTCATAAAAATGCATCATATAATCAAATATTTAATATTTTTACACAATTGGACAAAAAGTCATTTTAATATTTTACACAAGGGATTGGACTGAATTGTGTGACTATTTTGATATATATATATATATATAAATAGAAAATATGCCATTTTTATACTGTGATGGTGTTTTTTTCCTTCCTTTGTTTTGTTTTTTTGTTTTTTTTTGGTGTTGAAAGGAATTATTTTTAATGCATCGGGAAGATTTGAATCATTAACCTCTATGTTGGTGGCTTGAATGAGAGGTTTTTGATAATTACTAAGGCCTTTGAGAGGTTTTCTATTTGGTTTGTTTATTCATTAATACTTCTTGTTTTAAATATAAAATCTAATTTATAATGTAATTTCTATTACAAACTAATGTTATGCTACCTCCTGTTCTAATTATAAGACTTCGTTTGTAGTCTACAAACGATATCTTATAATTAAATTTGGAGGTAAAATTTAGGATATAAGGTATTAGTGCACATCCACTTTGGTCTGGAATTAACCATTATGTAGCATGTATCATAGAAATAATCACATATTTATCAAACCTGGACAAATAAAATAGATATATCCAAATGTATCAAGAAGTATAGGAATATATTATAGAAAATCGTTTTTGTTGATTATAATTGTTAAAAAATATTGAAAAGAAATCATAAATCTCTTTGTCAAAATAAATATTTTGATATCTTAATGAAAAAGAGATCTAAAATTACAAAAAGAGGAAGAGAAAAGGAAGAACCCAAAACAATAACCAAAACACTTATACATGTTCTTCCTGGCTAAGAAAAGAAGGCGGACCCCTTGGGTATATGTAGTGATATTGAGAATGAGCAATACCAATTTTGACAGCAACACAGGACGAGAAGAGAAGAGGAAGGAGGCAACAGAAGCAGAAAGAGCCATGTCGGATCTAAAAGAGGAGAAGAAGTGATGAGGAAGAGGGACGAATGGGAGAGGGAAAGAGGAGGAAACAAATTATCATTTTTACGGTAATCTTTCATTTTTCATTATTAAATAAAAGTTATATCTGTTTTAGTAATTTTACAAAATAAATTTACTTATTCAATCATAATCCAAACAATTATTTTACATATCATCGTTTATTGAAGTAACTTATAAACGAAAACTGAAAGGTAAAATATTATTTCTCATATTTTATGACGTAGAAATATTGATAAAAAAACTGCACATAACCATAATAACGATTAAAAAATCGAAAGTGAGTATAATAAAGATTAAGAGAGAACATCAACCGATCATGGATATGTTGTTCTGTTAAACAAAGGCTAATAAACAAAAATAGAAAATAAATCAAAGCCAGAATCTCAATGATTTAAGTCTATGATATAATATACTACTTCCGATCCTTAATATAAAAGTTAGTCAAAAATTAAATTTGATCCCAGTATAAGATATTAATCTACTTTGTCTCTAATGTTTATCTATTTTGTCTCAAATAATCTCTATGGTGATTGCACATTTAAGAATTTTTATAAAAAAGTAATTTTAATGCTCATGATGATATAAACTAATTTAGAAAAGACAACATCCATTTGGCCAACACCACTATGGTGTAGTGGCATGTTAGTTGTGTTGGGTGCAACAGGTCCACGGCTTTGATCCGCTCAGCAAGCATTAGCTTGCTGATTCCAACAAAAAAAAAAGAAGCATCCATTTAGTACAATTACTAACTTAACTAATTTTCTTAATATAAATTGGGATTTAATTTATCTTATAAACATCTATGGTTTACTGTTGAAATTTTTAAAACAACTCTTAGCATGTACAGTTTTTTTTTTTTGCATTTTTAATTAACCGTTATTTCTTAACTAAGCAAAATCAAACAAAAGCAATATGTACTAGCTAGGTAATTTTTTGGGCTTCAATGAATCAATATATAGGCCGGATGTATTTGAAGACGCACACTATATATAAAAACAACCCTTTATTAATATGATTGTCATTGTTGTTACACACATTATGAAACATTACATAACACTAATAACAAGGGAGATAACAACGATACACGCGGCTACAAAGATCAACCATGGACATGGGTTGTTAGCAGCCTCTTCAACTTTGCCATTTTTATTGAAGTGTACACATATATCTCATCTGCTACATCTTCCACTCTTCGAAAACAAGCATATCTCCAACTCTTCTTTAGCACTAAAGTCCCAATAGCACCCCAAAAGCCAACAGCAAACCCAATTGCTACAACAAAATAAAACCACACTTTTTCTGGATCATGTTCATCTTCATGTTCTCTAGTTTCAGGAACTTGATGAGGATCATCATCTTGACACTTGTTTGGTAGTGGGATTCCGCAAAGATAAGGGTTGCCAACATAAATGGATGGATCATTCATAGTCAAGAATTGATTTTCAGTCGGAATTGGCCCTGAAAGGTTATTGTATGACATGTTCAAATGGTTCAATGTAGTTACCTTGGATATGCTCCTTGGAATTGTGCCAAAAATTTGGTTGTGAGAGATATCAAAGGATTCAAGGGATTTCATATCCCCAATAATCTCCGGAATCTCTCCTTTCAAATGATTGTGTGAAAGGTTCAAGCTTATTAATTTGACAAGGGAGAATAACTCAATAGGAATTGATCCAACCAAATTGTTATTTGACAAATCAAAGTTGATCTCAAGCTGCAGGATTCCAATAATGTCAAACTCTCTTCCTTTCATAACTTGTTTCACATGTTGATTAGGCCATTGAACTTCTGCGTCAATGTTCCACTCAGTTGAAATCCATATACGTGTACTATTTATTGTCATTCCTGTAAGATTGCCAATGCAATGGGGTATTGAGCCGCTTAAGTTGTTATTTGCAAGGTCCAAAATATGCAAGGATTGGAGTTGGCATAGATGTAAAGGAATGTTACCATCCAACATATTATCCCGCAACCTCAGAATTATCAGTGTAGGAAAAGTGTTGCTAGTCCATGGTGGTACACTTCCAAAAATGTTATTCTCACCCAAATCTAAAATTCTCAATTGTGTCATATTTTCCAAATTCAATGGAAGCTTCCCTTCAAGACAGTTATTGTTCAAATGCAACCAGAACAATGAAGAAAGCTTGCCGATTGAGATAGGGAAGGTACCAGATAATTTGTTGAATGAAAACTTTATTTCCCTCAATTGACTTGTATCTCTCCAGCAGTTTGGAATTTCACCAGATAAATTGTCATGAGAAAGATCAATGCTACTTAGATTTACAAGGTGACAAAAGCTTTGAGGGATATTGCCGCTAAAAGAGTTATTTGATAGATCAAGGTCATATAGATTTGAAAGTTGACCAAGACTTTGAGGAATGTTGCCCATAAGAGAATTATCTGAAAGATCAAGGTGAAGTAGATTTGAAAGTTGACTAAGACTTTGAGGAATGTTGCCCATAAGAGAATTATCTGAAAGATCAAGGTGAAGTAGATTTGAAAGTTGACCAAGACTTTGAGGAATGTTACCCATAAGAGAATTATCTGAAAGATCAAGGTGACTTAGATTTGAAAGTTGACCAAGACTTGAGGAATGTTACCCGTAAGAGAATTATCTGAAAGATCAAGGTGACTTAGATTTAAAAGTTGACCAAGACTTTGAGGAATGTTGCCCATAAGAGAATTATGTGAAAGATCAAGATAATACAGATTTGAAAGTTGACTAAGACTTTGAGGGATATTACCACTAAGAGAATTATTAAAAAGAGAAAGGTATGTTAGATTTACAAGTTGGCCAATATTTTGAGGAATGAGGCCACTCAAAGAATTAGATGATAGATAAAGGCTTCTTAGATTTACTAGCTGACCAAAACTGTGAGGAATATTGCCGCAAATATAATTATTTGAAAGATCAAGGTACACTAGCTTTTCAAGATGCCCTATCCAAGTTGGCAAATGGCCATTGAGTCCATTACGACTCAAGTCCAGTTCCTCAATATCATATTTGATGCATCCAGATAAATCAGAGTCACCTAATACTTGTCCTTGAAGATTGCTGCTGTAAAGATATAATATTTGCAAATGGCACATGTTTTTTAAAAGTTGTGACACAGAAATTTCTACTGTGGCTGTGACTTGATTCCTAGAGATATCTAGATGGCGAAGGCTCCTTAACTCTCCCAACCAAGATGGAACTGAACTAAAATTGTTTGCAGAAAGGTCAAGATATTCAAGGGAAGTCAAGTTCGATAAAGCAACAGGAATGGGTCCACAAAGTGCATTAATTGAAAGATCAAGAGAAACCAGATTCTTAAACTCTCCTAGCCATAATGGCATTGAACTAAGATTGTTGACATGGAGGTCAAGGGATTCAACAAAAGTCCAATTTTGAAACACATGAAGGATTCGGCCATCAATTTCATTTTTAGCCAGATTCAAGACCTGAACTCTAGTATTATTTGTGAAATTGAACGGGGAAAGAGGAGCAGACAAGTTGCCAAGTCCACATTCTTCTAATTGGAGTTGTGACAAAGAAGGAAGCATGTGAAGTACCTGGAATAAGTTATGAGCTTCTCCAAGGTAGACTCTACTTAGATCGAGGTGTTGCAAAGACTGAATTTTAGAGATCCAACTCATGTCCTTGATGTGCAAATCATTGTAACTGAGATCAAGAAACTGCAATGCTGTGAGGTTTCTACCAAGATTGGTAGGAATCTTCCCTGTGAAATTAGACTCAGATATAGAAAGATATCTCAGCCTCCCCATAGAACCAAGAAAGGCAGGAATCGAGATGGCATTGAAGTTGTTTCCACTCAAATCCAAATAAATCAAATGTTGCAACTCCAACAAAGATGGATCAACACCAGTAGCTTGTAGGGAATAGTAACTAAGATCAAGTTTGAGAATATGACCAGTAACATTGTGACAAGCAATGCCATCCCATTGGCAACAGTTGGTTTTGGGATTCCAGGAGGAAAGGTTTTTATATGGATAATCATAAATAGATGCTTTGAACTTGAGAAGAGCTTGCTTCTCTGATTCAATGCATATTCCACACAAACCTAATTGGGCAATTCCCAACAACAACAAGAAAAGCAACACAAATCCTAATATGGTGTGTCTTTCCATATCGATGAGAAAAGCTTCGGCAAAATGAATTTTCTATATGGTGAATCTCTATGGAGAAGTGGAGTGTGGGGTTTGTTCAATACAAACAACTCATATTTATAGATGACTTTTTTTTTGTTTAATCCAAAAAATGTGATAAAAGATAATCATGAGTTGTGTACTTTTAAAACAAACAACTATTCACTTGTGGTTTTCTTCAACCTTTATGTTCAAATTATATATTAAAAGAATTTAAAAGATGAAAAATATGTGGTTAGCATCAAAGTACTGTGAGCACTAACAACAAACTAAAAGCAATTTACTTTCAAATTGGAATGATGCGTCAATATGGTTGTTGCATATTCCCATTGAATATTAAATTGTTGAATATAGACTCGTTTAAGCAGGAAATTAAATTTTAAACTATTTAATTGTTGGTCTATACAAACTTTTTTTTGCAAAAAAAAAAGACTATACTTACACCTTTGGTCTTTTTATTTAATTATAATATTATACAAAATTTAAAAACAAAACAAAGCCATTGATATAAGCGGTCAAGGATATAGATTTAAACCTATTTTTGGGTAAAATATAATTTAAAACTTTAATAGCATAAAATTATTGAAGTTCTCCGATCTTGTCAATTTTATACTTGAACATGTTTCAAACAGAGAACAAATAATTTTAAATGACTACAATTAACAAAATCATTTATTTGTAATATATTTTGAAAAATTTATTAGTTTTCGTGAAAAACCCGTCCGGTAATGTACTCAACAAAATTAATGTCGAATGGGTTGTTTTAAACATTTTAGCAGATACACCCTTTCCATCGTTGGTTCATTTTGTTATACTCACTCTAATTATATAAGAAGAATTTTTTGAGGATGATATAATCCTATTTACAAGAAATCTTAACAGGATGTCTGAAATTTCTAGTATTATTTCTTATTTTTACTATTAATAACATGTTATATAATTGTGTTGATTCCACATCTTTTTTCTATTTCTCTCTCTCCCACTCTCCACATAAATAAGATTATTTTAAAAAATAAAATATATTTGTATGCATGTATTATTTTTAAACCAATTTTTTGGTACACACACATGTTGTACTTTATATCTTACACACATTATATGTCATCGCTATCTACCGAAGGATCACGCTATCTACCGAAGGACACGCATTGACTGACTTGAGATAATAAGTCATCGCTATCTACCGAAGGACACGCAACAGCATTGACTGGAGATAACCGTGTGGAACTGAGGAATTCTGCGAAGCCTACCAAATAAAGTGCAAAACCATTCATGATTGTCCCACTTTATATTTAATATCATTTATATATTTTACTTTTTAATATTTCGCCTTTACGTTATTAAGAAAACTTATATTATGATTTTAAACAACTCAAACAACTAAGAGATATTTATTTGATTTTACTTACATGTCACTTTTAACATATTTAACCAAAATTCAAAAAAAAATCTTAAATCTTATTAACTCTGCCTTAAATTTAATAATTTTGAATTTTACTATCTAGGTATTGACTCATTTATATCATAAATTCTTAATGTGCTAAAACCAGACAAAAGTCTCTAACAAATAAAGTGAAAACTCAATTATATTAATGTGACACTTTCTTCCTGAAGTGTCCTTGCGTATTCTATATTTCTTAATAGGAAGCATCGCAGCAAATAAAGTAAACAAACATTGATTGCTATGGACTTTGGAGTTTATTTTATATATACACACAACATATATATATATCTCAATTATATATATATGTGATGTGCGTGCTGTGCGGTTGAATCAATAAATCAATAAATTGTTTTAGGCTAAAATCCACAAAAGCTCCCTTAAACTTTGAGTCAGTTGAATATAACCTCCCTTACCGTTAAAAATTTAAATTAAGGAGTCTAATATTCAGTATTTTGATTATTAACTCCCTGCTGTTAAAATTACAATTAAAGTTAACTGTTTTTTCCTTGTCAATTTCCCCCCCCCCTATATATCATGTCATTTAAAAAATAACACTAGTAATTTGACATGCAATTTTAAGTAATTTATAATTTTTTATTTAAAAAGGACTCAATCAAATAAATATTTTAATAAATTTTTTTATATTTTTTAAAGTAGTTAAATATTTCATTTTAAGTATTTAAAAAAATTTAAAATTGCTTGTTTAAATTCTAAGGATTATTTTTTAAATGAGATGACATGTAATAAAAAATATAAAAATATTGACATGGCAAAAACCGTTAACTTTAACTATAATTTTCATGATAAGGGATTAATAATCAAAACACTAAATATTAGGTTCTTAATTTAATTTTTTACAGATAAAAGAGGTTATACACAACTGACCTAAAATTAAGGGAAGTTCTATGTATTTTAGCCATTATTTTGTATATAAATGTTCAGTGGATCGAAATAACAGTCATGAGAAAAAGAAACTGCCGCGTATCATGTTTGTTGGCTCCATCTCTTTCTCTTTTTTATTTTTGCTTTCTTTTTTTTTTTTTTTTCCCTTCTTTAGTTACAGATAGTGGAATTCTTTTCTTGTCTTTTTTCTTTTAATTTTCCAGCTGGGTTTGTTTTTTCTTGCAGTGGGCTATTTTAGTTTGGCGAAATTAATTATTTAGTCATTCTAGGATTCACTGAATTCCAACGCAATTCCAAATATTTATTTAATATATTGTATCTCAGTATATTAAATTTGAGGCATTTAATTAATTGGTTCTTTTATTTTATAATTCGTATGTAATTCATCCTAAAAAATTATTTGTATAAACTAACCAATTAACAAAATTTTCGGTAATCTTACTTTCAAGGATTGAATGGCAATCGAGTTGAAACTATATCTCTTTTAATTATATGTTTAGATGGAAAGAAATAGTGTACTTTTCATGATTCTCATAAAATGATAAAAAATTTAATTTGTGCTGTCCATAAAAAATTTTTAAAAAATAAATGACTTTTTTTTAAAATCACTTTTTTAAAAGCTTTCTGTGGCAGAGAATTAAAAAGAGCTTAAATGAAACATTCCCCCTAATCTTCTAATATCATGTGAAGTCATTAAATGACCAGGTCAACTAACTTTTTGTCAACATCATTTTTTTTTGGCACGTTTCACAACCACCGACACAATGGTTAGTTTTATTCTTCTCTTTTCACGCATGTTCATGCTTTTTTGAAACATTGATGCTCATAGATACCCTACCCTCAATAATTCCATGGTTGTTAGAAAGGATCAAATCGTCCAGTTCAACTAGTTGAACCAGCGACCAGCCTTAGTCTTGTATAGAAACTTTTTTTTTTTGTGCTAATTTTTTATAAAGCAAAATAATGTTATTTTGTATTTTTATTTTTGGCTGATATATTCTTTTGAGGCTAAAGTATACTCTTAGTCCTTTAACTCTATATAAGGTTTCAGTTTAGTCTCTTAACTTTAAAAAGTATATTTTTAGTTCTTTAACCCCAAAGTTATTACTATTAAATTATAATTTTTTGTAACAATTATAGTCATTTTGAATATTAAACTTAATAAGTTAGTATTTAGTAATATTTTATCAGCATTCAAGAGCTTAATATCATTATTTTTGTTAACACTTTTAAGATTAGATGATTAAAAGTCTACTTTTTAAAGTTAAGAGACCAAAATAAAACCTTGTATAAAGTTAAAGGACTACAAATATACTTTAACCTTTTCTTTACTGCTAGATATATTTGACAATATATATTAGTGATTTTGGTATGTCATGGATGCTTGTGCTAAGTTTTCTTAGATAATTAGTAGTATCGTGACATAACTGGTATTTTGGTGAATTCTAGTAGACAAAAAATAGCTATTTAAATTGATTTTTTAGAGTCGTCAGTGAAAGTTGATTTTCAGGAGCATATTTTTTTTAATCAATGCTGAAATTCATTATCGAAAATCTATTTTTTGGTAGTATTTAATACCATCTGGACGAAAAGACACAAATTGCATCATAAAGAAAGAATAGATTATCCTCTTATTGTGATTTGGGAAATCCAGAATTTAATTTCTTTTTCAAATTATGATTTTTGATAACTTTGACTCTTTTTGCTCGTCTAAGCAGAACTTCTTTAGTGAATATTCTCCTTTAAGATTGAACCAAGACGGTTGGAATGTGTTACTCTATAAATATAAAAAATTGAGAAAACACTATTGCCACAATATTATTTGTTATGAGGGAATGCCCCTCAAAGAATTTTGATGGTGAAACCAAGCTGCTATATGCTTTGCTTTTCGTTGCAAATACTTGCGGGCTTTTTTTTTATTTTTTATAGATCTATAACTCCAATTTGAAACTTACTATAGGTAAGCCCTTTGTGCAAGTTTACTATGTTAAAAAGAGATTTCTCCATATTCTTACCTATGCTTTCTCTCTTCTCAACATCACTTGGCAATACTTCCCATCACTCATAATTTCTCTTCCTTTAGTAATGATATTATTTCTTAATCTTGTTTTTTTAATTTTAATTCTGCAAGACTAGGATTGTTAGGTATTTGTAACTTTTTACTACGAAGGACATTTCATGTTTGGTTGGAAAAAAAAAAGAAGAAGAAAGAAATTAAACCGTGTGGTACATCTAATGAAAACAAAAGTCTTTTAACAAATAAAGTGAAAGCCAAACTGACAATGAATATTTATAAAATATTTAATGCGTCGCTGTCTATGTTAATTATGCCTTATTTTCTTATATAACATGTGGAATGTCTTAAAGAAATTTTTAAGGTCAGCTAGTCTCTCCATTTCTTTATGCAAGTCTTTTTTTTCAGAAAAAAATTAATTTCATTTATATGCCTTTTTAAAATTTCAAGACTGAAGTTGATATGATTATATTGTCATTCTCTCAATTATAACAGAAAAAGAATTGATAAGATTTGGCACATATAATTAAACTATGTGAACGCAGGCAAAATCTTTAACAGATTGTAAAGTGGAAACTAAATTATTGGTTATATAAATATATCATAAAATATTAACAAGTG